TAGAATAGAATAGAATAGAATAGAATAGAATAGAATAGAATAGAATAGAATAGAATTCTTTACTGGCCAAGTGTGATTGGACACACAAGGAATTTGTCTTGGTGCAAATACTCTCAGTATACCTAAAAGTAAAGATACATTCATCATGAGTTAATTATAAGGTACAACACTTAATGATAGTCATGGGGTACAATAAGCAATCAAATCATATTAGGAAACAGTCAATATAAATCGTAAGGATACAAGCGACAAAGTTACAGTCATACAGTCACAAGTGGGAGGGGATGGGTGATAAGGAGTGATGAGAAGGTTAATAGTAAGAGTAGTGCAGACTTTACTTTCTGATTGCAGAGGCTTTTTAAAAAGAAAAATTGCAAACATAATTTGATTACTTTTTAGAACTTTTAAGCATCTCAAGGAAGAAACAAAAGAGCCGCTTAGAAGGATTTTGCCATCCTCTGATTTATTTCTGATTTCAAAAAAAAGGGAAAAATGCAAATATCTTATTCCAACAGAAGAGAATATATAGAATTCAGGGTTGCAATTGCAGAAAACAAGTCGGTTTCTAATTTTCAACTTTTTTTCTATATAGGTAGTCCTTGACTTACAGCTGTTCATTTAGTGACTGTTCAAACTTACAACAATGACACTGAAAAACGTGACTTATGATAGCTTTTCACGCTTACAACTCTTGTAGCAACCCTATGGTCATGTGATCAAAATTCAGGCACTTGGCAACTGGCATGTATTTATGACAATTGCAGCATCCTGGGGTCACCATTTCTAATCTTCCCAGCTGGCCTTTGACAAGCAAAAGTCAACAGGGGAAGCCAGATTCATTTAACAACCACGTGATTCACTGAACAACTGCAGTGATTCCGTAGCAAAATAGGTAATAAAATGGGGGTACAACTCACTTAACAGCTGTCTTGCTTAGCAATGAATATTTTGGAAATTGAGGACGACCTGTAAATCGTCATTGTTTCATGAACATTGCTTTTAGTACAGTAATATATGCGCAATTATAATTGGCCAATCAGTTCAACTTTTAAAAAGTCTATAGAAAGTTTACTGTGTCTGTTTATATTCCATAGAGTTGGAAGCAATTTCAGATATCATGTTTAGGGAACAAAGTTAACTTGATCCAGACACATTTGGAATCCTTCAGTTTTTTTTTCTTTTATCTTGCAGAGAAAGTTCCATCACCTGAATTTTTGGAAATTATTGAAGTATCTACTGAAAGTTTAACCGTAACCTGGAAGCCACCATCCTCTGATGTGGCTCTTTACCGTCTAGCATGGATCCCATTGGCTGGCGAAGAAGCTGATGAGGTAAGGATGTTCCTGCCCCTTACATGCTTTTTCTTATAGCAAGCTGAACTGCTGGTGACAGACTGTGTTTTGTGCATTTTAAGAAGCAGAGTCTCAGTAGACGTCATGATAGAAATAGATGAGTACGTTTGTGAAAAGCATGCAAGCAATTGATTGTCTATTTATTTATTTACTAGCTCGATACCCGTGCTTCACTACGAAACTACATGGTCGGGCTTAATTTTGGGGGTGGAAAATAAGGGGAAAAAATTCTGCCTACCAGCATCCATCGGTATTCTAGCGTCCTGTCAGTATGTGAGAGAGTTGAGAGCTGTTTGGAAACTGAAACAGTATTTGCTGTGTGAGCAAGAAGGAGACAGCAAGGAGCCTGAGCGTGGCTTAGCTCAACTGTTCTGTACTAAAGGTGCTTGGTGCTGTGAAACTAAAGCTGAAACTCCTCTCCTCTGCTTGTGTTTTGCATTTGGAACAGATTTCTTTTCAGGTGGGGAGGGGAGTAAAACTTCTTAGCATCAGAGCGTGTTAATAATAATATAGGAAATACTAATGCTCTGATGGTCATTTTGAAAAATCATTTCTTAGTGAGCACCTAGAAGCCAAGAGGAACATATGTGCCAAATTTCAAGTTTGTAGGCTTTACAGTTCTGGAGATTTTGTGATGATACGTGTGTGGTATTTCGCTTTAATATATATAGAGAGTTGTATCCTATTTTCATTAGTTTTACAAATAACTCAAGGTAATGAATATACTGTATCCAACACACATTCCTCCTCCTGTTTTTCCCATAACAACAACCCTGTGAGGTGACTTGGGCTGAGAGAGAGTGACAGGCCCCAAGTTATGTAGCTGGCTTTCATGCCTAAGGCGGGACTAGAATTCAGCATCTCCTTGTGATTGGCCCAAAGTTACCCAGCTGGCTTTCATGCCTGAGGTGGGACTAGAACTCATGGTCTCCTGGTGATTGGCCCAAAGTCATTCACCTGGCTTTCATGTCTAAGGTGGTACTAGAATTCACAGTCTCCCACTTTGTAGTGTGGTGTCTCAACAAAAAACCAAACTGTCTCTCTTTTGCTATATTCTACTTAAAAACTCATTTGCCTGGCTCCTTATGAAGCCAAAGCAGTGCCAAGAGAAATTCTTTGAGGAAAATGCCTCAAGGAATATTTGCACAAGTATTTTGCACCTTCTCCCAAAGTATGGTTGGCTCCTACCCTGTTGCTTTTCCAAAAGGCCCTAAAAATATGACTTTCAGTGGTCCTGGGGACTACGAATGGAACTGGAGCATGACTGATTTGATTGTGCTGTTGCTACTCTGGATGGGGGCTTTTAAAATTGATTTTTATTATACAGCAAATTTTGTAAAAAAAAAAAAATCTGGAATCACCTATGTGTGAATTGGGAGGCTGTGTATATGTGTTTAATAAATAAACAATAAGCACAAATTTAGAGAGTCAGCAACTAAAGGAGCTAAATGAAGAACGAGCATGCTTAATGGTTATTCAATGCAGATCAATTCGTTCATCAAGAGATGGGAAGAACATTTCTCAATGTTTCTCGGATGTGGAAAATGAGTTAGGTATACCCGGACAGGTTCCAAAAGAAGTATAATTCACTTCTCTGCCTTCTAAACCTCCCATTCTATCTGTTTCAGATCATCTTAAGTGGAGATGTGGACACCTATGAAATTGAAGGCTTGCTGCCTGATATGGAATACGAGGTGTCCTTGGTGGCCCTTTTTGATGATGAAAGCGAAAGCGATGTTGTTGCTGTACTTGGGAGCACACGTAAGATGGGAAATACTATGGTTATCCTTCCTATATATTTCTCAGTATATACTTTACTTTAAAAAGCCAATGCTCAGAAGTATCGGGTACCTCTGTCTCCTTACTTGAAGTCCTGATGTATAGAACAGTGTGTTCATTTAGGTTCATTTGGCTACTGAAATGTAATCTACTTTGTCTGAAGAGATGTTTCATGGCTGGTTGGGGGATTCTGGGTGTTGAAATCCACCTATCTTCAAGGGGCCCAGGTTGAGAATACTAGTCTAGACCAGAGGTGGTATTCAGCAGGTTCTGACCAGTTCTGGAGAACCGTTAGCAGAAATTTTGAGTAGTTTGGAGAGCCGGCAAACACCACCCTTGACTGGCCCTGCCCCATTTATTCTCTGCCTCCCAAGTCCCAGTAGATTGGTTGGGTCTTCTTTCGTTGCAGGAGAACGGAGCTGGAAAGCAGGTTAGTGGGTTGGGGGGGGGAATGGGATTTTGCAGTATCCTTCCCCTGCCGCCAAGTCATGCCCACCAAGCTACACCACGCCCACCAAACCATGCCCACAGAACTGGTAGTAAAAATTTTTTAATTCCACCATTGGTCTAAACATTCAGAAGAGATGCTGAGTTGAAATTTGATCTGAGGAGTCCTCCTTGGTGCACTCTGAGCTTGTGTGTTTTCTTGTAGACGTTTCATTTTCCAAACTAGGTAACATCATCAGTCTAATCTGATGGTGTTACCTAGTTTGGGTACTAGTCTGATCATTAGAACTGTTGATGTTACCTAGTTTGGGTAATACAGCATCTGCAAGAAAACAAGCAAGATCAGAGAGCACCAAGGACTCCTCATGCTACAAATATTCTCCTTTATTAGTGAAATTTGATCATCTTGGAAATAACTCAACTCTCTCCTCCTAATATAGCTCCATCCCGAGTTCTTTCTTTTAAAATTCTGCCAGTTAGTCCAGATTTTGCTTTAATTTCAGTTCAACCTGACTTTATCTTCTCCAGTCGCAATATTCTGCATTAGTGTGCCATATAGATAAACCTACACAAGAAACATATAGGAGCTGTTGTTAGTATGGAATTCTGTCTGAAAACATGCTTGTTGTGTTGCTTTTTTCCAGTTGAAATACTGACTACTGAAGTTACTACTATTACTACAGAAAGTACTACTACTACTCAGCCTACAACAGCAGGTACAAAATATATTTTAAAAAATGAACACAAATGTAAGTCAAGAAGTGATTCATTAACATTACTCAGACCAAGGGGGTTACGATGACTCAGTGGTTAAAGATGCTGAGATTGTCAGCCTGGAAAGCTGCCAGTCTTGGTTTGAGACCTGGACGCCATGCGATGGGGTGAGCTCCCATGCCTTGCCCCAGCTCTTGCCCACCTAACAATTTGAAAGCATGCAAATGTGAGTAGATCAATAGGTACCACTTAAGAGCCGTGGTTGTGCAGTGGTTAGAATGCAGCACTGCAGGCTACTTCTGCTGACTGCCAGCTGCCTGCAGTTCAGCAGTTCAAATCTCACCAGACTCAAGGTTGTCTCAGACTTCCATCCTTCCGAGGTCAGTAAAATGAGGAGCCAAATTGTTGGGGGCAATATGCTGACTCTATAAACCGCTTAGAGAGGGCTGTAAAGCACTTGTGAAGCAGCAAATAAGTATAATTGCTATTGCTACCACTTTGGTGGGAAAGCAACCGTATTCCATGTGCCTTGGCATATAGTAATGCTGGACACATGACTATGGAACAGTCTTTAGACCAGGGGTCTCCAACCTTGGCAACTTTAAGACTTGTGGACTTCAACTTCCAGAATTCCTCAGCCAGCTTTGCTGGCTGAGGAATTATGGGAGTTGAAGTCCACAAGTCTTAAAGTTGCCAAGGTTGGAGACCCCTGCTTTAGACAATGCTGGCTCCCTTGTCTAAGAAACGGAGATGAGTACCACCCTCTACAGTTGGACATAACTGGACAGGGGAAACCTTTACCTTTACTCTGAGCAAAGATGCTTAGAATTCTTAGAATGATTGTATTTTATGATTTGCTGTAAAATAGTTCACTGGAGTGTGGAAGAAATGTTAGTATCCTTTGATATCCAGACTGGATGCTTCAAAAGATTTAAAGCTGTGTAAAGTGCCTGTTGCTCTTCTAGTCTTTCGGACAGGAATAAAAAATCTCATGGTCGAAGATGAAACTACCTCAAGTTTGAAAGTCAAATGGGACATTACGGACCTCAGTGTTTCCCAGTTCAGGGTGACATATATGAAGGCTGACGGTGGTCATGGGGAGGAAACGGTAAGGATGATGGCCTGACAGAGAACTGGTTTGAAAGCTTAGCTTGGATTTTTAAAGAGTTATTCGTAACTTGGAATCAAAGGGAACATTCTCCACATGATAAGTATCAATTGCCTACATAATATAAGCCTCAGTTTGCTAGTATCATTTACTTATCTGTGTAAAATGATATATTCCACCAATATTGAATGCATTTTGCAATTTCATAAGCCAAAAACTAACTAGGACCCTGGGCTTACAATTTAAAAACAATAGGAATATATAGTGAGTCCTCAATTTACAACTGTAATTGGGGTCAGAGTTTTCATTGCTAAGTTAGGTGGTTCTTAAGTGAATCACACCTGATTTGACCACTTTTTTTTTTGCCATGGTAATTGAGCAAATTACTGCAGTTATTAAATGAATTTTAATTGAATCTGGCTTTCCTGTGTTGGCTTTGCTTGTAGGAAACTAGCTTGGAAAGTCCCAAATGAGAAGCACATGACATCGTAAATACATGCTAGTTGCCAAGTGCTCAAATTCTGATCACGTGGCTGTGGGGATGCTGCAATAGTCATAGGTGGGAGAACCAGTCGGAAGTCACTTTTCCAATACCTTTCAAACAGTTGCTAAATAAATCCCAAGTTGCCTTAACAGGGATACAATCAAGATCAAGGGAGGTACTAATACCACTCTATAAAGCCTTAGTAAGACCGCACCTAGAGTACTGCATCCAGTTTTGGTCACCACATTATAAAAAAGATGTTGAGGCTCTAGAAAAAGTGCAGAGAAGAACAACCAAAATGATTAGGGGACTGGAGGCTAAAACATACAGTGAACGGTTGCAAGTACTCAGCATGGCTAGTCTAGTGAAGAAAAGGACCAGGGGAGACATGATAGCAGGTCCCAATATTTGAGGGGCTGCCACAGAGAGGAAAGGGTCAAGCTATTTTCTAAAGCACCTGTAGGCCAGACAAGGAATAATGGATGGAAAAGGAACAAAGAGAGATTTAACCTGGAAATAAGGAGAAACTTTCTGACAGTGAGAACAATCAACCAATGGAACAGCTGGCCTTCGGAAGTTGTAGTAGCTTCATCATTGGAAGCCTTCAAGAAGAGACTGGACTGCCATCTGTCAGAAACGGTGTAGTGTCTGCTTGGGTGGGGTGTTGGACTAGATGACGTACAAGGTCCCTTCCAACTGTCTGTTAATTTGTTAAATCTGTTAAATGATTGTGCAGTAAATTGAGGACTATTTGTAATAAAGAGGGTGGGGACATGTTGTGTTGGCAAATATCAAAGGGTTGATATGAAAAGTTGAGCAGGACTTTTCCTCTGCTAGTTTCTAAATGGACAATGAGGTGGTATCTTGTGCCATTTGGTGAACACAAAGTTCAACAAACCCCTTTTCTTCTTGCAAGCAGGAGGTGGGGGATTCTCCATTCACATGGAGAGCATGGTAGGTTAACATTTGCTGTGCTCATAGACCTGACCCAATTTTGCATCCCCATCATGGTTCTCCAAAAATCTTGCACTTGAAGATGAGTGGACTTCAACTTCCAGGATTCCCAGTTTGCAGCCCCATCGTGGCCAAGGTTGTCAGCAATGAATATGATTGCATAACATTATGCCTACCAATTCTGGGTCGTTTAGGGGTGAGGTTTAATGGGTTAAACTCATAATCCATGGCTTTAAGAAGAGATCTGAAAAAAAGAGGGACTTGTTTTGAAATAGGGACAGCGAGGATAGAAAAAATGTTCGTGGCTTAGAGGAGAAATCATTATGAACGAAGAGTCCTGTCTGCTTTCATCTGTTGATTTAATACTTCGCAAATGGTTGCTATCCACCTTGAGAATCTCTCTGATGGAGACATGAAATAAATAGATGAAAGCATTTCAGGCCGCTGGGCATGAGAAAGCTGGAAGGAAATTACAACGAGGAACAAGGACTGAAAGATTTACAGATTACTATGGACCATAAAATGATTTGAATTCTGGCCAAGCTGTTGATTCAATCTTCTCAGCCTGCCATTTCTGTCTTATAGCAGCTTCACTGGTCCCTCCCTTATTTTCTGGACACAATTCAAAAAGGTTACACATGGGAAGCCCTCTTACAACTATTTGAAAGAAGCAGTGTTTCATCGGAACCTGCCCAGTTTCACAATCTGGGAGAGAGGCCTTTTTCTCAGCTCCACCTCCATTATTTGATCCCAAGAAGAAAAGTTGGTTTTTCTTGGTGGCTATGTGAAATCTTTGGATTTTGGGGGGCATAGGAGACAGGTTAAAGTCAAGTCAAATCTCTAGGAAGTATGTTTGATAAATAAATGACCTAGGAAGTCATTGCATAAAGTGAATTTTTCTCTCCTCCGATGAACATCAGGATAATTTCATAGCATGCTTTCATTGCAGTCTGTTTTCCTCTCAACATAATTACTTGTGAATGGGGGAGGGAGGGATGTGTTATATTCACTGCTCAGAAGATAAGAAACTTATGGAAATAAGTGGAGTGGCCCAGATATGCAAAATACGTGTTAACATCTCTGCTCATAATCATGAAAGCCTTTGACAGTTAGACATTTCCTTGGAGTAGCTACTTTTCTCGGTGGATTTTCACCCATTTTGTAATAGCTAAAGAGGATTTCTCTAGTTTTTCTTCCCTTCCCCTGTTGTCTTTTTGCTTTCCTTCTCACCATCCAGCTTTCCGACTTTCTTTGTCCTTCTCTTCCTGCACAGCTACTTCTTCTACTTTTCTTTCTGCATCCTTTCTATGTCTTCTTCCATTTTGTGTTTTGGTTGGTCAAAGGAAGGGGAACATTTTGCGGGGGCATCATGCTTATGAGTTTCTTTGTATAAGAGCAGTTTGTAGTATATTCTATGAGAGAGAATAATTTTATATGAATGATTTTTATACTAAGAGCCATGGTGGCACAAAGGTTAGATTGCAGAATTGCAGACTAACTCAGCTCACTGCCAGGAGTTCGATCCTCACCGGCTCAAAGTTGACTCCCACTCTTCTGAAGTCGGTAAAATGCAGCCCCAGATGCTGACCCTGTAAACTGCTTAGAGAGGGCTGTAAAGCACTATGAAGCGGTATATAAGTGGTATATAAGTCTAAGTTCTAATGCTAAGTGCTATTGCTATATGTGCAGTGGAGAATCTATTCATTTTCAAAGGGAGTCCTGGACTTATGACCAAGAATCCTGGTCCTAAGTCATTTCAGTCATAAGTTGAGGCACCACATGAACAGACCCAACTTTCTACCATTTTTTATGGCAGTTGTTAAGCAAACCTCATTGTTGTAAATACGAATCCACTCTCCCATACGGGCTTTTTGAACAACTATTCTCATGAACGGAATTTCTGACCTGGATCACAGATTGGCAATGCATAACTCTTTCTTTTTAGTCTCCAGAAGTTTCTTTGAGTAATATTACTGAAAATGGATGGTCCAAATTTTCATTTTCATATCGACTGGACCCTAAATAATTGTACAACTGAAATCATACACACAACCTTCTACAATGCTATTACAAATCTAGGTCTTGAACAACTAGTAACCAACAACACTAGACTAAACAACTGCCTCGATCTCATCTTCTGCAATAGTTTGAATTTAATTTACGGAATACAAACCAAAGAACCCTTTTCCAGTAGTGACCACAATATGATTGACTTTTGCCTCAACATACGTCCACACAAAAATCACAACAATGATGTCATCCCTAATTGTAACTTCAAAAAAGGCAACTATGAACTTATAGATAACGATCTCTCATCCCTCGATTGGCAATCTCTATTCACTGGATGCAATACTGTTGAAGACCATTACAACATTTTTTTACTTGAAGTCAAAAGAGTCATCAAACTATATGTTCCAACAACAACTCCAAAAACAAAACAAAAAAGCAGATTACCCATATCAATAAGGAAACTTCAATCCAAAAAGAGATCACTCTGGCGGAAAAACAAATCTGGTCACGTTGCTAATTTCAAAAACCGATACAAAAATTTATGCCACCAGATAAAGACCGAATGCACCAATTATCACATTAAACAAGAGGAAAACCTTCTAAGCACCAATTCCACCCGTGCTTTTTACAATTTTGTAAACAACAAACTAAAAGACTCAAGGTCCATCCCTCCCTTGATAGGACCTGATGGTAAAGACTGCAGCGACGACACCATTAAAGCCAACATCTTTAACACATTCTTCGGCTCAGTGTTTGTAAACAGTAATGGATCATGCCCAATGTTTCCTAGCCGTACCACAGATAACAACAATGATCTAATACATATCGATTTTACAGTAGACAACGTTGAAAAAGCACTACGCAATCTAAAACCATCTCTATCTATTGGACCGGATGGAATATGTGCCTACTTCTTAAAAAAGCTATCCACTGCCATAGCCAAACCTCTAAGCATAATCTTTGAAAAATCTTTCAGGACCAGCTCCTTGCCTAACCTATGGTTACAAGCCACAGTCATCCCTATCTTCAAAAAGGGAGACCCAAGCCTAGTTGAAAATTACAGACCAATCTCCTTATGCTGCGTCACCTGTAAAGTCATGGAATCAATTATTAACCAATCCATCATCCTCCATTTAGAGACAAACAACCTACTCTCCAATAAACAATTTGGTTTCAGAAAAAAACTATCCTGTAATCTGCAACTCTTACACTGCAAAAACATATGGACTACACAACTCGACCAGGGCAAAGCAATAGACGCAATCTACATAGACTTCTGTAAAGCCTTTGATTCAGTGGTACACGACAAACTACTCCTAAAAATAAAATCTTATGGTATCTCTGGACAACTGAATAACTGGATAGAAGCATTCCTGTCAAACAGACAACAAATGGTCAAAATCGGGAACGCCCTATCAAATCCAGTACCTGTCAATAGTGGTGTTCCCCAAGGCAGTGTTCTAGGACCAACTCTCTTCATAATCTACATAAACGACCTTTGTGATCATATCAAGAGCAATTGCGTTCTCTTCGCTGATGATGTAAAGCTGTTCAATACCACAGACAATACTACTACCCTACAAAAAGACCTAGACTATGTATCTGAATGGTCTAACATATGGCAACTTCAAATCTCAACAAATAAATGCTCTGTCTTACATATTGGTAAAAAAAATCAGAAAATAAAATACAAGCTGAATAGTCAAGATCTTGTTGATGACCCAAGCTCTGTAAAGGACCTGGGAATACTCACCTCTAATGATCTAAGTGCTAGAGCCCACTGCAACTACATAGCCAAAAAGGCATTAAGAGTTGTTAACCTAATCCTACGTTGCTTTTTCTCTGGTAATATCTCACTACTAACCAGAGCATACAAAACATTTGCTAGACCAATACTCGAATACAGTTCATCAGTCTGGAATCCTTATTACGTATGTGATATTAACACAATTGAGAAAGTCCAGAAGTATTTCACAAGAAGAGTTCTCCACTCTTCTACTCGTTGTAGAATACCTTATGCCACCAGACTCGAAATTCTAAAACTAGAAAACCTTGAATAACGCCGTCTTCGGTCAGACTTAAGCATGGTATATAAAATCATACATTGCAATGTCCTACCTGTCAATGAATACTTCAGCATTAACCATAACAACACAAGAGCACACAACAGATACAAACTCAAAGTAAACCGCACCAAACTTGATTGCAGGAAATACGACTTCAGCAATAGAGTGGTCAATGTCTGGAATACTCTACCCGACTCTGTAGTCTCTTCCCCAAACCCCAAAAACTTTAACCTTAGACTGTCTACTATTGACCTCACCCCTTTCCTAAGAGGTCTGTAGGGGGCGTGCATAAGCGCACCAACGTGCCTACCGTCCCTGTCCTATTGTTTCTCTTATTCTATTATTTTTCTTATATGTACCCATTTCATATATTCACAACTATGTATACACTTGTACTTATTATCTTGTAAACAATTGACAAATCAAATAAATAAATAAAATAAATAAAATAAATTTTCCTGAGGCAGGAAGCACATTAAAAAACAATAGCAGAAATCCAAGCTTAACAGATTTTGAAATGAGACGATCCCTCCTCCCACCCAAGGTCTGTCATGCAATCTTAGGGGAAACATCATCCACTATTGGCATGATTTTCCTATCACACTGTGAACCTTAAGCTTCTCCAAAGTGTTAACTGCCATGTTTATGACTGAGATAAAAAAAGGTGCTAACTACTCTCTAGATTCAGGTCCAAAACCATTTGTAGTAAAGCAAGAAGTACATCAGCATCTAAGATGATATGGAAAGTGCTGGCTGGATTTTGGCTAGCTATTGATTTTTAAGCCATTTTTAGCTCTTTGAAGGAGGTTAAGGAATATCACATGTGACTGTGAAAGAAAGAAAGAAACAAAAAGAAAAGTTCTGGTCAGAATTTTATTGCGTCGATTAATTGATATCACTCATGCAAATGATTGGTAACATGGAATGTGATCACAGTAAAAGCCAGAATTGTTCAGCATCTCAACATCTTAGCAGAGTTTGACAAAGCTCAACGTTTCAAAAAGCTGAATCTGTATTCATCCACAAATTCTGCCCTTGACATAGCAAACTGATATGTTTCAGCTGACCTCCCAAGAAGGTAATCTTCGTTGGAAGTCTTAATTCAGTATTTCTCAACTTTGGCAATTTTAAAGACATGGGGACTTCAACTCCCAGAATTCTCCAGCCAGCAAGCTTTTAGTTATCTTTTCAGCGATGCCTTGTTTCATATATATTTATATATATTCTTAAGAATGCTAAACCCACAAATGGGGAAAAATGTATGCATCCTTGTATCTGAAAATCTAGATCTTTATCTCATTACCAGGATATGATGGGTAGCACATAAATATAATAAATAAATAAACTGTGGAAATTATGGCATATCAAGTTCTGAAAAACTCACATATAACAAAATACACAGATGTATGCTTGAACACAAAGTTGTTTTGTGTTCTCTGCACGTTTCTTGTTTTTTTATTACAGTCAAGCCTGAAAGATATTGTACGATACAGTTGTAATATTTGTTTTTAAATATTTCTTCCCTCCAGGTTACAGTCCCTGCGAGACAAAACAATTTGCTTCTTCAACCTTTGCTCTCAGATACTGAATACAAAATTATGGTCACCCCAATCTATGCTGATGGAGAAGGAGTCAGTTTGTCAGCTCCAGGAAAAACTTGTGAGTACAAAGTTGTGAAGGCTCAAATATAAGCAAGTGCTTGTATTTAATTAAGCTGTTTCTCTGAGATGTTTTGAGAAAAAAAATATAACTTATAATGTGCTTTTTCTCCCCTTAGTGCCTCTTTCTCCTCCACAAAATCTGAAAGTCTCTGATGAATGGTATAATCGATTAAGGATTAGCTGGGATGCGCCTCGATCTCCCACGATGGGGTATAGGATTGTATATAAACCTGTGAATAGTGAGTGCTTCAAATATTTGCCTGCCTGCTTTATTTATGCATTTATGTATCTCAGTTATACTTTGTGTAAATAATGTTCCTTCCCAATTCTCACCAAATTATTCTTCTGTACACAGATAAGATACAAGATAAATTTTCTTCTTGTAATGGAGGAAAAAGCTGCTGGAATAGGGGATTTTTGAGGGTGTAGAAAAACAATCAAAAACGAAAATAATAATTTATTAAACTTGTATGCTGCCCAATTCTCAATGATTCTGGCAACTCACATCAATCCAAGAAATTACAATAAAATAAATAAAACACAAAAACTCTCAAGCATGATGGAGCAAGGGGTCTCCCTCACCCTCAGCAAAAGCTGGGGAGAAGAGCCAGCTTTTCACATCTCTCCTAAACAAAGAAATATTTAACAAATATTTTTCTTTTTTCCTGAACTTCAGAGATTAGAGCCTGTAAAACAAACAAATGATTTGTGAATAAACATGAAAGACCCAGTTCGTTGTAATGGTTAAATGCTGGCCTAGAAACCAGGAGAACTGTGAGTTCTAGTACTGCCTTAAGCATGAAAGCTGGCTGAGGGACTTTAGGCCAACCACCAGGAGACTGTGAGTCCTAGTTCTGTTTTAGGCATAAAGCCAGCTGGATAACTTTGGGCCGATTACCGGGAGACTGCGAGTTTAGTCCTGCCTTGGGCATGGAAGCCAGCTGGGTGATCTTGGGCCAGTCATTTTCTCTCCGCCCAACCCACCTCACAGGGTTGTTGTTGTGGAAAAATAGCGGAAGGAAAGATAATTGTGTGAGTTCACTGCTGTGAGTTATTTATATAGCAATAAAGGCAGGATAAAAACACAATAAATATTAAATAAATAGATAAATAATTTATTTATCAGATTTATTTATTGTGTCATTATAATAGGCCTCTTGCTAGGTATTCTTGCTTTCAAATTAAGGATCACTTTAGTGAATCAGAAAGTAATAATGGAACTTCCCAGAATCGTTAACCTAAACGCAGTGCTGTGGGGGAAAAATAAACCATGTTCATCAGATCCCTCTCTTGTTTCTTCCAGTTCCTGGACCAGCACTTGAAACCTTTGTGGGTGATGACGTCAACACCATCCTTATCTTGAATTTGCTTAGTGGAACAGAGTATAATGTTAAAGTATTTGCTTCTTACCCTACAGGATTTAGTGAAGCCTTAGCAAGTGTTGCCAAAACACGTAAGAAACTTGGCTTTTTTTACCCCCCCCCCCCCACGGATTATATTTCACTGATTACTTTAGCATTTGTTTTAGTAAGGAGTCATAATCTGGGTATGACACAAATAATGAGGGTCTCTCTTGGATATTTTTCATTTGGAACAGAAAGTGGAAGATCACCTTTTAAAAATCAGATCCATTTTAATGCACCTCTTTTTGATTTCTAAGAAGTGGTCAGTTCCATTCTTTGGAATAGTTTGGAAAACTTGTACCAATATGGATATTTGAAACCTGGTAAATGTTATCTCCCTTTTCCTAACTTTCCTGGTTAAGCATGTTGTGCAAAATTGTCTAAATTGTGATCAGCAAGGAATCCGCGATCTATAAAGAGAAGAGTAATGAGACCAACGTATGATTCTGAGGTTCCTTTCTCTAAAACCTTTGAAGCCCTTCAGATGTTATGCCTCAACTTCCCCTTGTCATGTCTCCTGTTTCTCATTATTGGTGTTAGGGTGAAATTTTATTTCTGCAGTCTGATGAAAAAGAGTATGTTCTTCTCATGTATTTCAGGGGAAAATAAAATGTTCATGAAATTCTCATAACTTGAGTCTGATGTTTGCGTGACCAGGTGACCAAGAAGTGTTAGGGTACAGTAGTCCACAGTGTTTCAGGTTTCTCACAATTTAAAAATGAGGTCACTTCTCCTGCAGATTCTTTCAGACCAGGAGGTGTGGACAGCAAGGGAGTCTTTGGAATGATGAAAAGATCTGTAATATGAAACCCCAACACTATCTCCAACTATCAGCTTTGTTCAATGCATCATTGATGCAATGTGATAGAAGGACAAAACCTTCTTCTACTCCAGAGGTGGAAAACATTTCAGAATCTGCAAGGCAGATTTTGGCATAACATTGGTGTTCTATATTAACATACTCATAATCCTGAAATCTGATTGGTCCACCAATACAGCTTGCTGATTGGCCCGTTTACCCTATTCTGATTGGACTGTATTTATTACCTTACGATTGGTCCGTCTGGACGGTGGGAGATTCAAGGAGCCATCATTGGCCGCTAGCCGCGAGCAGCCGTCATAAAAGAGGCTGCCGCGGCTCCGCAGTTAGAACAGATTTTAGGAACTAAATAAATGAGCTGAAAGTCACACTGGTCTCGAGTCTCTTTTCCCCGATCTAACAATTACAAGTTCACCTCTTGCTTATAAGAGGAATTCCACGAAGCAAGAACTATGGTTCCTCTGATATCCAAATCATGACAAAATAAGCCTTTTTCCTGTCTGATGGAATTGATAAAAAAGCACGAATAATATTGCATTTGTATTTTTCGTTGCAGTGTATTTGGGTGTGACAAACTTAGGAGCTTATCAAACCCGAATGACAAGCTTATGTGCCCAATGGCAGCCCCACAGACACGCAACTGCTTACAGAATTGTAATAGAATCTCTTACTGGTAAGTCAATATATTATGCATATGTCGCTCAACTATTAAGGTGCTCCTGTTGACCAGGAATCTAATTGTCGATGTCACCATTGCCTCTGCAGGCCTTCAAGGTCATGAAAAGTCCCTCAGGAAGCACCCAGTGTCCCTGAGGTGACAATAAATATCCTTGAAGGACCTCCAAGGGTGGCTATTTCTGTACTTCTTTATCTTATGTAGAGTGTGCCCGTTTGCTTGTGTGTGTGTGCCAGTCTTTCTGGGTGAAGGAGTGAACAATATAGGAAACATATAAATATGAGTGTCGAAGTGGGTTCAGTGTTCCCTCTTACTATGAAGGGGTCCATCTTTATTCAGCTGAATAAACACATAAAGCTCATTGAGGCAAATACTTGGACTCTGTCTTTATTTACACTGAGCCACACCTGAAACCGGCAAAACACTCCCTATTCGACATGAGAAGACATTCAGGTAAGAGTCTCCCCTTATCTGAAAGGCAAGAGTTATGTGATTAAAAGCTCTGAACTATTGAAACTGCCCTCTTAAAAGACTAAATAATCTATTCTGGTAGCAATCTGAAGTCTTCAATGTGGCAGAAGTCTGACATTTCTATCATGAGACCCAAATGTACCTGAGGACATCTCCTTTGGAGCTTAGTAGTCTTGCTAAATAGAGTCCTTCTTCTTTTAATTAAAAGTGAATATGTGAGAAGTTGGTGTTTTTCAAACATAAAAATGACGATGACCAATGCTAGGTGGTTTATAAGGCTATTCAATTTTCATGCCTATTGTAGCAGCCATTTTGTAAAATGGCAAGCCACCATGGCCACCATTTTACATGCTCACTGTTTACTCTTAAAATCCCAAACATGCTCACCTGTCACAACAGTCTGAAGTAACTTACTTTAGTTGTAAAGCATCAGGGAGATGATCTTGAAGAAAATAGGCAAGGACTATTGTACAAGCAAAGAGGGATGAAGCATTCCTTAAGCCGTGGAAAACCAGATAGTGTTTAGGAGAGAATCAGGCTAACTTCTCTTTGATTAACTGGGATAGGAGAAGAGAAAAACATACTCAGCCTTGCAAGATTCTGTTTCTTCATATGGACTACTAAAAGGCTGACAATAGTAGGTTAGAGTTGTGTATTCATGAAGAAATATCAGAAACAAGAATAATTCATGTTCATATACATAGTCCTCCTCCCTGTAGGAAATCACAGTTCAAAATATACTTGTGTTTAGGGTGTTGTTCTTTATTCTGCTGTGTATTTTAGAAAATGACAATAAAGTCATGATCGTTTAATGTTCTCTATTTTCAGATGGGGCAATTGAAGAAGAACCATTAGGTTGGGGGGCATCTAGGCATTGTTTCTTTCAACTCTATCCTGACACAAAATACAATATCAGCATTTATTCACAAATTCAAGAATTAGAAGGGCCTGCCATCAGCATAATAGAGGCAACACGTAAGTGGATTGTTTCTTATATAATGTTGATGAATGTTCATGTATGAGATGTCAGAAGTAAACAGAGATTCCATCTTCCTATCTAATTTTCTGATTTTTTTCCTATAGTTTATTTTGATATACATAGCATCAGAGACTTTAGAATTAGGAGCTTCATGAAATAAGATTAATATCTATGTTAGTTTGAATTTTTAGGAGTCACATTTCAGATTCTTGTTCAAACATTGAAGGAAACACTTGTGATTAGCAGGTGGTATGGTCAGGTCTGGTATCATTAGTGGAAATCTATTTTTCTGCATCTGATTGGTCAATAGACTATATATTAGCTCCATTACCTGGGGATTTTGAACTTGAGGAAGGACTTCAGATCTTTATAAGTGGGATCTTGGTAGCTGTGCTTAGGACAATGGTTTTTTTTCAAACTTTATTCTTGATCTCCAAACATCTCAGTAAGGCACATACAGTATATCAACTACCATTGCTTCATCATTGTTTCTAATTTTTCTTTTCTCCATTTTCAGTGCCCTACCCAACTGAGCCACCACCAACTCCTTCAACCACCACTCCACAGCCTACAATTCCTCCAGCAAAGGAAGGTAATCTTTCTGCAAAGAGAATACTAAAAGTTTTTTTTAAAAAAATATTATTTAACCATAGTATGGTAGTCCTTGAATTTCGACCACAATTGGAACTGGAACTTGATCAGTGAATTGGTGTTTCTTTTTCTTTTTTTATTTCAAAGTACTTTGTGTATTTTTGTAGTTTGCAAAGCTGCAAAGGCTGACCTGGTTTTTTTGGTGGATGGATCTTGGAGTATTGGAGATGCAAATTTCAACAAAATAATTGGCTTTCTATATAGCACTGTTGGTGCTCTTGACAAGATTGGTCCTGATGGAACTCAGGTGAGCAAGAGAGAAGATTCATTGAGTATATGAACATTTTGAAGTTGTATATGAAATGTCTTCAGTTGTATCAAATTATAGTCACCTTGAGTAAACTGTGGTTGGGGTACCAAAAGAATTAAGGGAGGGGTTCACATTCCTGATCCAACACAATCCAAAGACTCTTTCTCCATAGTTTTCAAACTCTATTTTTTCATCAGGGTTAATCAAGATCTAGATGAGGGGTCTCCAAACTTGACAGTTTTAATACTTGTGAATTTCAGCTCCCAGAATTCCTCAGCTAGCCATGGGAATTATTGGAGTTGAAGTCCACAAGTATTAAAGTTGCCAAGTTTGGAGATCTAGTTGAAAAAGTATCCTTTTGTCTGTTCTAAATCTCCACCAAATTATTTGCATGACCCTAATGTTTTGAGAGAGAGGAAAAATTTTCATACTTTCTTTAGTTTGATAACCAGCCCTCTTCTTCTGAAATACCCTTCTTGTTTCATGCTCCTTCCCATATCTGACTTATAGGCTGGGTTTTTTAAAAAAAGAAAGTAAAGTCCTCTTGCTAAAACTATGTACAAAAATGATTATTAAGGCATCTTTCTTATTCAGGTGGCAATAGGCCAGTTCAGTGATGATACAAGGACAGAATTTAAATTGAATGCCTACAGAAGCAAAGAAACTCTACTAGATGCCATTCAGCACATTGCCTACAAAGGGGGAAACACCAAAACAGGTGGGTTGAATGGCTGGAAGAGTTGTAGGAGAAGAGATCGAATTTACAAAGTTGAGTTCATTAAAACTTTTCTTAGACAACCAATAGTGGTTTAACATTACATGATAATTTTTCCTTCCTTCCTTCCTTCCTTCCTTCCTTCCTTCCTTCCTTCCTTCCTTCCTTCTTTCCTTCCTTCCTTCCTTCCTTCCTTCCATCCTTCCTTCCTTCTTTCCTTCCTTCCTTCTTTCCTTCTTTCCTTCCTTCCTTCCTTCCTTCCTTCCTTCCTTCCTTCCTTC